TGTACAATAGACGGCGATCAAAAATTACGTCCACTTTGTGTTCCTTTTTCACAGCGGCATACGTGGTGCATTGGCCCACATTCTTCCCCGAGAACCCGCTTCGTTACCCACCTTCCTTTGATGCGCGCATCGTACTCTATCCAGGTGTGCAGGAAATTCGGGACTACTTCTCGTGGCGCCAAGTCGATAGTCTGTTCCATCTATTACCGCGAATACGGCAGGCTATTAATATCTTATCAGCGCACATCAACAACCTATACAATACCACATTTTGGGCCCTCGTCCGCCAAGGAGGGCAAACACCAAAAGATGCCCACGAGACACTCCGTGTACGCTCCACGTGGCCACTTCTTTGGCTGTCCTTACCCACGTTGGCCCTCGTTTAGGGCACGGCGTCCAGTCAGAAAAATGAGATGCTGTTTTCGCGATTCGGTATCAACTACAATGCGCTTCCCTCTCGGTTCCGCAAAGGAAGCGTGTTAGTCAGGGAACAGGTAAGCGGTTAGGCGTCTCTTTTAGCGCTTTGCTGCCAGTGAACACGTCCTCCGAGTTAGCTCTTCGACGGTGAGGTAGAGGGGAGTTTGGAAACATCTTCCACCGCAGAGATGCCCAGAACCAACTCATTTGGGTCACTCTCCTTGGTGGTACGTTTATTACGTTACGCCTGCTTGTCGAATCTCTAAAAAGATGAGATTTCATCCAGCAGAGTCCCACCGTTGTCGGAGCCGAGAGCGAAGTGGGATCGCCAAGATTACATCGAAAGAACAGAACAAGGCAGGGGCCGACACGGATCGCGATGATGCACTGCGACATTATAGGCAATGAGTTTTGGGATAGTAGGCCGTATCTGTTGATGGATGACTGAGATCTGCCGGTAGTGGTTCGCTTATCGTCGTGTGATCGTATGGGGTGTTATTGTATTCTGTAGGTAGGGTAGGGTAGGCAGCGTAAGGCGGAGTTGAATGAGATTTTTGCAAAGACAAGAAAGACAATACGGCGGACAAGGTTGACCATTTCGATTGGGCCAGGACCCCGTCCATGTTACCCTTTTGCTCTCACCTCACACACACACCACCGACATCGCGCACAACACGGCCTTAAGGGGCGAGAGGAAGGTTATCAAGACGCCCATCAAAGGATTGATTGACAGATCAGCTTGCCACGTCTAAACCGGTTCTCCATGTGAGTATGTCCGAGAAGCGACCACAGTCACAGGTCGTCGTCGTCGCATCATACTACTACTACCACCACCCGCCCCGCTTCTTCTGACCTCACAGCAGAGGCTCTCATAGTTTATGGACCTCCGCTCGATTACCGACCTCGAGGGGGGGCGCTTGCAGTCCTCGGATAACGGTAAGTTGTTTGGGCCTGTGGGTCCAGAATCGGCTTGTGGGTCCGTGGGTCCACGCTTACACTTCGCCTGCCACTGGCCACTGCCTGCTGCCTAATGCCCTTCTCCGCCTCCCTTCCCACCTCCCCCGGACCACCGTTCCTCATATACGACAGCAACGTAATGCTGACCAACTCCTCTTCCCCTCACCAGATACCCCCACCGTCAACGACCCGTGGGACCCCGGCGTTCCATTTCCCCAGCGCCAATCCCTCGCTCCCGCACCGGCGCCACCGTCTACATCCGCTGACGGCCACACACGCCACAAAGACCGCGGAGAGACGATGCACCGCGTCTCAAAGGGCAAGCGCTCAGACGCGGGCTATGGCGCGGTTTCGGGCGACTCTCTGCATTCGAACGACGAGGACGAGTCCGCCAACCTCCCCTTTGTTCCTCGTCATCACGCCTCCCCCTATCCCCGGTCTCACCATCCGTCCGGTCCGCACGCAACACACCTCGCCCACATGTCGGCCTTGCACGCCGGGTCACGTTCCACACATATCGCGTCCCATCCGGTACGTCGATAATCTCCGCTTCTTCTTCTTCTGCCCCTTTCGATCATCTCCTCACCCACTCCCCTTTGGCCGTAAATTTGGCTCTGCCTTTTTGTTTTGTCAACCCGTCATGACCAGACAAGCCGCGTCAACGTCAACTCCGACCACGACCCGGGCACGCGCATCGGTGCTGCCAGCGCCAGCACTCAGATGGCCCGTCGACGTGCACGACCTGAAGACAACGATGATAGACATGGAATAGTGGAGGAGCATGCACGATATCGTTCGCGTCCACGCCGTCACAGTACCGAGCCTGATGTGTCGCCGGAGTTCTCCCCTCCGCATTCTCTGTTAAGGCCTATCCCCCACTACCGTTCGCCATCGTCCGCCCTGAGCCCAGATACGGATAGCGCCAGTTCCCAACCGCCCGCAGTAACAGAGCGAACTTCCAGCTCGAGTCCTAGACATCACCGGGGAGGCGACTTTGGCCGCCAACCTCAACGGTCCGATCAGACTCAAACACAGCGGTCACTCCCTCGCGAGGAGTATCTCTCACCGGAGGTCCAACCCGTGCCTCCACAGGTCCCTGGTTTAGCTAATACGCAGTCCTCGAGCATTGAATCGGCTGAAGAGTGCGACCAAAGCCCTACTCCACCGCTACCGCAGCCACAACTAATACAGACAAAGGCGACTATCCCATCCGTCTCTCCAGTGTCTGCTTCTGCCTCCCAGCCTATACCCGACGCGGGCGGTTTGGGTTTGTTAAGTGACAGCGAGCTTACCGACGAGACGGTGCACTTGCGCGCCTTGCTAGGCTGTCCACCGGGCGCTCCCGTAGGGCTCGATGCGCTCGCGGATCCCCCTACGGGCGAGAAGCCAAATTATCCATTGCCGACGCTTATCAAGCTCGCGATATATGGCAGTCCGCGGCGTCGCCTTACCTTGCAAGAGATCTACCAAGCACTCGAAGATCGATTCGAGTGGTTCCGACAACGGACCGATGAGCTTTCCTGGAAGGTGCGTTCCCCGGTTCCTATTTTTTGGTTTGGAGAAGATTGACAAGGGTCGTGTATGTGCAGAACTCCATTAGGCATAATCTATCCCTGCGAAAGTGCTTCCTAAAGGTGCAGCGGCCCATCACGGAACCAGGCAAGGGCAGTTACTGGATGATCGACCTCACGCAGGGTGAGGGCAACAAGCGTGTGCGCAAGCGCAACAAGAAATTAACCAAGGGCCAGCTCGCTGCACAGGCTGCTGCCGAGGCGTACCGTGCATCAGCGCGGCTCCCCGGTCAAGGCGATGGGCTGCGTCCGGCACCATATCCTATTCCATCGCAACATACGCACCCACAGCCCCAGATGGCCGAAGAAGAAGACACGTATCAGGCTCCCCCGATGCAAACATACTTTACGACAGTCACTCCCCCCGAAGAGCCTCATCTCCCTCTGCCGCACGGTTCTACGTCGTTGCAACTCCCGCACCCGCAATCCCCGGAAATCTCGTCGCGCCAACGACAGCGACCGGTGGAGCAACTGTACCACTCAATATCTGCAGATCACGCTCCCTTGTCGCTTCACCAGACCTCTGCACATCCACTACCGTCTTCGCATGACATCCTTGGTCTAGACGCCAACATCGACCCGGCGTTGCGTGTCCTGTCTAAGGATAGCCTCGGTCCCCAGGCCATTGCAGGACCGATTGTCGCGTCGCATCACGACATTCTTTCACAACGTAGCGGTCCAACGTCAGGCTTCCAGCCGGGCACTGTGCAACTTCCCATGCCGCTCAATATGGCTCCGGTCGGCGCCGGGCCTCTCTCGCGCGGCCAGTCGGTCGCAGGCGCACCACAGACCCTACAACAGACCTCGGCGAATCGACAGGCTCAAGTGACCCTGCCACATCCATCGTTGACGCCGCCGCGGCCCACGTACCATCAACAGCAGGAGACAGGCTCACATATATCCCAGGCGCCCGTCGCCACGTCGCACGTTCCTCAGCCTCAACACGCGTCCACTTTTCTTCAGCAACAACCCCAATTTTCCCCGAGTCTGCCCCAGCAGATGCCAGCCCCTCGACAGTCCGCCGCGCTTACACTCACTCACATACAAGCCCAACCACCACGCCTTCCGCCGATGCGCACGCTCAGCGAATCCCCCGCTCCCGCTACCGTGACGCCATTACCACAGCAGCAGCAGGCCTCATCCACAGCCACGGGCGGGTTCGCGCACTTCGCCGCGCACAGCCCAACCACAGGCCTCGCAAAGTCGATGCCGACGTTTGGCAAGCCAGCGTTCGTCGGCAGCCGCAACCCGCCGCCACCGCCAATGACGATCATGCCCTTCCGCCCTCTGCTTTTATCGTCGGAGGATAAGGGAAAGCGGCGTATTGAGGACGAGCGTGAACGCGAGCGCGAGCGTGGCGCTGAGCACGTCGGCGCGGGAGACGACGATAACCATTCGAATGATCGTGAGCGACGAGGCAGCGGTGGTGGTGGCGGCGGTGGTGGCAGCCGTCGTCGACCGCACTTTGTCCCGCCGGCACCTCGCGCCGGGATCGAGTACGTGCAGAGGCCGGACGGCGGGCTCGTCACCGCACGACGTACGTCTGGGAGGCAGCACGACGAGTGCACGGTCGAGTGGATCAATCGTCTGGATCATGGCGAGGAGAACTCGAACTCAGCGGGCGCCTCCGTTGTCAGTGGCGCTTCACCTTCCCCTTCGCCTCCTTCCAGGGAAGAAGACGTGACCTGACGCTTTGCAGATCGGTGGCTTTCTCACATCTCCATCTATCCATCAGATTCCCCCCCTATACTTACTTACCTGACCTTCTCTCGGATGTAGTGATATCCATGATGCAGATCGACGAATGGATGGAATGCTCTTTTGCTATCTTTGCTATCTTTATGCTGTCTATTCTCTCCTATTCTTTCATACTTATACACCCACATCATATACACGCACTTCTACTCTCTGCATGCATGACCCACACATCTATATAGCCTGTATTATCAGTCGACAAGTCGTTAGCTAATGTTTTCAATGGGGGAGAATAGTAAATAAACGATCAGATAGTGTGGACCATCGACTTGTGTGAAGGCAAAAAGGTAGAATCTTCTGCTTCGGTGCGGGGAATCGAACCCCGACCTCCTCGGATCGCTACAAATAGATATACTGTCCTGTAGTTAGTGAAAGCGAGGTATGCTAGCCGTTGCACCACACCGAACTGATGTGCCAGGGGAGTTGTATCTTCAATTTGCATATGCCTCACCATTCACGCACCCACGCACCAACAAAAGCGGTCCGGTCGCATTCAAACTCGAATGGGCGGGATGCTGGACGTGATGTGATTGATTGGCCTGACAGCGCCTGTTTTGCTGCTATACTGTAAAATGGCATACATGGCATGGCATGCATTGATGGTTGCTAGAGAGGAGCTCAAGTTAAGTTGTTAGGCCTAGTTAGGTTTATTGCCACCTAATATAAGCTGCGCCACCTGACTGAACCACTTTCAAGTGTTTTTTCCGTTACAGTAATCGGCTCATCAACAGGAGATGAGGCGAGGTTGAGACCTTTAAGCTCCCGGTCTAGACGTGAGAAGCAGAACGACCGGAGGAGAGAGGGGGTTCGCTCAGGATAAGATGGAAAAGAATGTTTTCCGCGTTTTCGTTGATTTTTACAGGTTTGTTTCCAGGTTTTTTTTTTTCGGAAAACTTGGAAATAATCTCAGCTGGAAACCCCGATATATTTGTAATGAATAATATAATCACTGCCCCACCAGCATGGATAGCAAAAAGGCATTTGCCTTGGTCAGATTTCTGGGAGGTTCTTGGGGAATCTGTGGAGGGATGTTTCTGCGGACTGCGCTGCATTTTTGATTTTTTCAGAAAAAAACTGACTTATAATAAACATGAGTTTCTTCTAAGTAAAGCTATAAGTTGAGTTGAGTGAGAAACAAGTGAAAAGCCTTCTTAGCCGACTTCCTAATAGTTTGAATGAGGGACCTAACTCATTGCCTCCCCGGTCGGGATAAAGTACATCTGATGGCGGGACGGCATGGATTGGACGACATTATCAATGATATCGCTGCCGACTAATTTTTGTGCAATCTGTTGGTAGCCATAGTATTGGCCTCATCGGTATAGTGTCTGCCTGTGCCCGTGGTGCCACAGACACTCCAGGACCGCTGGGCCGCCTCGAATCTCGGAAATTCTTATCCCTCCGACCATCAATTACAATTACCATGAACCCCACCACTACCCTACCTTACTTCCCGATCCACACCAACTGACTTTATTAAAGCAGTCCTGGTTAATCGGTAGTCGATTAGACCATTGCCGTAAAAACCATTTGGGTATCACCCCAAAATTTCAGCTCTCCGCAGCATTATACCAGCGGCAACACGTTCATGTCACATCTTGCACATACTGTCTCTTACACCACCGTGCCCAGACTAGGAGCCATCTCAGTTACCCGTCTTGAGCCCAGCAACCGGATCCGTGGTTTCCTGTGATATTGATAAACAGAATTGCGCCAGGCATCAAAGGGGAAGGGCTCCAAGCTCCCAAAAGAAGCCACCAAATAAGCGGACGTGAAAATGAGACCAAATATCGTTGCTGTCGCTTCGCTCTTCAAGGTGCAGGAAAAAAATTCCTTTGCCGAGCTAGTATCTGATGGTGATTTGACGGCTTGTGTGTACGGTCAACACTCAACAGGGTGATTTCATGGACCACAAGTCGGGATTCACAGGCTCTTTGCCGATCCACCGCCTCCCCAGGCACAGTACAGATCCCTGGGCCAGGCAGGGCAAGGGCAGGGCAAGGGCCTCCATAAGCAAAGAACAAATGATGCCACACACCATTGGGGCGCCAGTGGCCTCCGCGGGGCCATGACGCAAGATATGATAACTTCGAAAAAGCAGCAGGCAGTTCCCACCGCGGCCGTTCGGTACGAACGTGCGTCCTTCCGACGTCGTAATACATGTCGCGCATGCAAAGCAGCAGAACTCAATGACAAGGGGCGATGCCAAAAACGATTTTTGTGTGTGCGTGCGACGGACTGGAAGCGGTAACCCCAAAACTGACGAGGGCGTCGCGATGTAAAATGGTAGCGTGGGTTGGGTAATTCCGGAAATTGAGATGGCGTCTAGACATTTTTATTCAAACGATCCGCCTGGCCAGTTGGTCGTCGATTACCCCACTGAGTGGACTCTGTGGACTCCCACGGAAAGTCAGCAGGGTTTGGACACTGACATTGCCCCCGGTGCGTGCCGTGGTGACCGGTGAACCGGTGAACTGTGAATATGCTGAATGGGTGCATCATTTGCCCTCCCCCCAAAACAGATGGCATGATGGGAATCCGCTTGCGCCAAGTTGTTCACCGAACCATTGGAAGGTACTGTACAATATGGGAAGTATTCGATTAGGGATGTGCGTGTGCCTGAAGGAATCCAGCAGGTGGAGGAGATTAACCGGGGGCAGATATGATGCCCCTGGTGATGGTGCTCCGGCCGCTCCAGCCGCTCCAGCTGCCCCATGATCATGACGTGCAAGGTGGGGAGTAAGAAGAACGACGCCGCCATTTTGGTTGTCACGAATGCTGCCGAGTGATCGCTGTCAGGTCAGTATCATCGGCATTCGAGTTCTCGTCGGATTGAATAAGCTTAAAAAAGCGCCGCGGAAAGGGGGGGGCGTTCCACTCCTTGCCGATATTGAGGTGAGGAAGAAAAAAGGTACCACTCGGCCGTCCTCCTGCTACTCTCTCACAGAATCCCGTCGTAGTATTTAGTCATCCCCCCAGCTGTTTCCATGCTCTCGACATATACACTGCCCCACCCCAACTCAACCGTACCACGCACGTCGTCCTCCGTGTTTGACGAGCCCTCAGTGCCAGAATGACGACCACCTCGAGCTCCTCCTTTGTGCCCCCGACCTATCTCAACGTGACCGCAATCTCGGCGACGAACGGCGCGTCCACGCTCGAGTGCTGGCAGCTCTTGCCCAACTTCACCACCTCGTCGCAGTCGGGCACGACCGGCGCGAGCATCCTCCAACTGGGCAACCTCGCCAACATGAGTTACTCTGTGATCCCGCCCGGATTCAACGCCAGCTTCCACAATGCGCCAACTCAACAGTACGTCGCTCTCCCTCCCTCCTTTCCCCCATTCACTTACATTGACCCGTCCGCTCATTGAAATAAAAAGATGGGTTGTATTCCTCTCGGGTCTCGCGCACGTCACGCTCGCCAACTCATTAACCGAAGCTTACATCGCCGGCGGAGCGAACGGCCTCATCTTTGCGGCGGACACGGCAGCCGTGAGCGCGAAAGGCCACTCGACGAATTACCCCTCCAAAGAGGAGACCCGCGTGCTACAAATCCCCACGGGCGGCACCATTCCACAACACAACGTGCTGTACTCGGGCCCGTGTACAGGTGCCCAGCTCAAGGGGCGTGGCATCGATATTCTCGATGCTCTCGACTAGAGACCCGACAGCGCCTTCTATACTTTCCATTTGGTTGGGTAAGGCTGATCTTATTTCTCACTCTTTCAGGTACGCGTCTCGCAGTCTTTCTTTCACTGTTCACCCTGATGTTCGGCTGATGGCATGGCATATTCGGCAGGCTTGCATGATACCACATTTTCGAAGAGATACGTATACGTATATGCCGCTCCTTTGACAAAGTTTATACTGTTTTATTTCATTGGGCTATGTCACTCGCACGGCATGTACGGGGGCCGAACAAACATTCATCGGGTTTCTTTCCCACTCCTGTCTCGTTTGTCTTTTATCTCATCTTGCGTCATCGATCCGGTGTCAAGGCGCTCTTTCTGCCCCAACTGCGCACTCTACAATTCTATATGATAGCGCGCGTCAAATTCGTGCTGGCGATGTATTTTTCTTTTTTTTGGTATCCATTAGCGTGCACGTCAGGAGGGTGACACTGCTGTAATGCGAGTCCGACTGATTGCTGCTGTCCATATGCTTGCATACCCTGACGGCGGTGGCTGTATAGTACTCGTTCGTCCTGGTCAAACATGTTCATCATTTAGCGGTTCCCTTATTTGAGTTATACGTCGTCTGATCCGGTTCCTGCCAAAGGTGATTCCGGGCCAGGCAGCCCGCGGCCCTTTCGGGCGCTTGTGCGCTTGTGATGCGCTCAAGCCTCAAGGCGCTCAGCCCACCAAGCCGCAAAGACCTAAAGACTGGTACATCATCCCCTAACACTTTTGATTGGCCGATTGTCCTTGTCCGTGTGAAGGGAGGTTCCTGAGCACACGGTCCCCACCTTCAACATGTGGGGGTCTTGTTTTATGTTTTTCGTCTTCCGTTCTTTCTGTCTCGGTACCAGAGATGTCATGTCGGTGTGAATGACCTAGGCCCTCCCCCGGGTTGATGTATTGATGGGTAGCACGGCCCTCCAGATTTAGTTTAACAGCACCTAGAACGTCTATCGTGGTGGAAGCTTAGTCTAGTTGTATCCATGCATGAGCTCAGAGCACATGAGCATCGTTTCTACGGACATATTGTGGTACGGACATATTGTACCACCGTAAACGGTGCCCATCGGGATTGATTAGGCACGTGATCAAGAGGTGATGTAGTGCCTTTTTACGATCCGACCGGTAAATTCCGTCCACAGCTGCACGCCCCGTGTCGCCCTTTCATTCATTCAATTGTGCAGTTCCCGTGCTTAGGCGGGCAAGCAAGCAGGCGCGCGCGATCGTGGCGGGGAGTAGAGGGATGGGACGTTGCTTTGGCACTGCAGGCCGCGAGAGAACCATCTGTACTGTAAGATAAGATGTCCTCAACTTGAGGTACCGTGTGATTGCCTAGCACGGGAGCATTGATCGATATTGATCGCCCGCTGGAGAGCGAAGGTCGAGCTCGATCAGAAACTTCTACACAAGCCCCGAGCCAGGAACTTGTCAAAAAAGGTATTTCTGAAACGGAAATACGAATATACGACCTACTTGTTGCCGTCTTGGCAACTAGTTTATATCTTTACTGCCAGGGAGGTTTCCTGCCAGCGCTTGATCACGACCTGCGTCGCATCGTGTCACTTGTGTCAATCTATCTATTCCGAATGACTGGACTGTAGCAACCCGCCCGGTTGCATTTGTGCTACGTTATATCCTCTCTCAGTAACACAACGACAAAGTGGTATTATTGTATCTATTATATGCGTGTCAGAGAGTTGAGTTGGGATAAGTGAGGTATCCAGTTG